TAATTTGAAAAACAAAATAAGTAACCATCTTAGTTAAAGAATACATTCAAAATGATCTTCATAAATATTTTCATTAAGGCATAATTTAGATGATTAAACTTTAGCAAAGTAAACCTAAAAGGATTTATGCGTGGTATATATGTACTTGTGTGTATGTGTATATACAATTCAAATATATATATATATATATATATATATATATAACATAGAAACCAAGAGAAGAAACAAGCTGTAATTCTCCCCTGTGGTGGGAATTTTTCAGTTGTATTTTAGACACATTAAAATCTGTTCACAAAGCTTTTATTCTGCAAACTGAGCAAAAGAGGTGGCTGTTCAGGAAGAGGTTATAAAAGTTGTTCTGCAGAGGTTTTTGGCTTCCGCACCTCTGAGATTATACTGTTTATTGCCAAGAAATGGTGTGTGAAAATCCCCTACTCTGGGCCACATGATGGCGCCTTTAGCTCTGTCAGCATTAACTATTCACCCCAATTAGATCTTTACAATTATAATTTGCTTTTCAAAATTTGTCATTTCTTCTTAGATTGTAGATTTTACATCATAATTCCCTCCTTCAAAGACTTGTTAGAGTCTGTGTTTAACCTAAGAGGATTTATAAATGCAAGCATATGCCTGTCTAAATGAGCATACTCTCTCAGATCATCAAAACTATATGTGGTCTGTTTCTGGTCACCAAGTGGGTAAAAAATTTCGAACTCACAATGTGGGTCTCATTATACTGCATTATGACCCAAACCATTCTAGGTCAATGTATTTTTCTCTTACGGGGAATCAGGAGACATTTTGTGAGATGCATTGTTGTTCTCTGTGACTTAAGAGGTATACTCCATGTATGTTTTCATACCTTAAAACTAAGAATTAAAAAGACTCCAAGGCTCCTTTTGACTTCAAAGTCTTGATGAAAAGTGTGGTGCTAAAGTTTATGAATTTGTCTAAACTGTTCTTAAATCATTTATACATCTCTATCCTTCAGATAGTGAATTTACTGTGGTATAAAGTAATACCTTATAAATTTTAAGGGATACTACTAGCTTTTAAATATTGTAAGATATATTAACTTAAATTAACATTCACTATAATGTAAGAAAAATCAAATTGATTTGATTTCCAAATGTAAAACTCGGGAGTCCCTAAAGAGGACAACTTCAAATTATTCAGGACATACTAAAAAAAAATCCTTTCCCCTCTATAATTTAAAAACTTTGATCCAATCCCTTATCACTCTGTTTTTATAAACTAAAGAGTACATATTACTAAAGCCGGTAACTTTGACATTAAATTTTTAAGTCAGACAGACTTTGTTACAAGATAGTAATAAAGTTGCTCTCATCCTGATAATTTTAATTTTCTTCACTTTTACAAATAAGACATTTCCTTACCTAGAAACCACTAATTATAGCAGCAGTAACTATAGACACACTGGGGAAAAAAAAAAAAAAAAAAAGGACATAACTGACTTAAAACTGTAAAGCATTAGAATTAAAAGGAACTAAGAAGCTAAATGCAACTTTCTACTTTTACAAATGAGGAAACTGAGGTCTAGTGATGATAAGTTCCTCTCCTATATTAAACAACTAAAAATATAAGCTAGATATTATACAACAGGGTTCTTAAAGCTATATATCAGGACCAATCAATTAAATAAACTGCTACCAGCATTTTACAAAAGTAAAAAAGTAGAAAATAACAGAGGTATTGCATAAATCTTTTTTTCACCTATATGCATATATTAGACCATGATAAAAATGCATTTATTATAGTGATCTAAAAGTTTGCAATTCATTACAATAAGATATCTAATTCTTTGAATGGATTTAAAATTTTAAAATTGATTATTAAAATTACTACTATAATGCAGTTCTTATAATTATTATGACTTACTGTAAGTCAATAAAATATTTGCATTAAATAGTAAGTGCTACCATTTAAAAGAGATCATTTTTTCTCTTTAAAAAATTGATTCTGAACACTGTACCCCATACCATATGTGAAAAGACTTTAAAATATCTCTTTTCTGTAAAACTTATGTGTGTAATAGCTATACAAGCTTTTAAAAATAACAAATTCTAGAACTCTGATACTTGGCACACATTTAAGAAAAAGAAAACAGTCTCTGAAAAAACAGTGACCTCTAGTGGATTCAAATGGATTCATTAAATAACACTGGCAGAATTCTTTCCCAGAATTATTCACAAATTAAGGTAATGTTAATTCATCCAGATAGAAAATACTGGTATGGTTATAAAACTGGTAAGTGCTATATGTAATTAAGGGCTATAGTTATACTATAAACAATGGGAAAAACGTATAAGATTTCAATGCTTCTAATCAAGTGGAATATAATAAATATTCTTGGCCTCATTCAGAATCTGTCACTCGTAAGTATACTTAATCTTTCTGAGCTTGTTTAATGGAAGGTTGGATTAAATCTAAGGATCCTTTAGGATCTTTAAATATGGTTCTTATCTTGTATCCTAACCCAGGTTTAAGTTTTGCTCAAAAACATTAGATGGCTCCTGAGAGCTTGACTGTACTTGACTTGAGGATATATTGCTTCTTACTACTTGCCTAATATTATGTTTTCTCCCAATACATAAGTAGTCCCCACTAACTGTGGAGAATTTATTCAAGTGCCCCACTCCCAGATGCATGAAACCATGAATAGTATCAAATCTTATATATACTGTGTTTTTCCCTGTATAGCTACGAAGTGACTAAGAGACCAGTAAGAAGTGTGTATGTATGAACAGTCTGGAAAAGGGATGCTTCATGTTCTGAGCAGAAGGGAACAAACTGGTGTGAGATTTTTATCATGCTAATCAGAATAGTGTGTATTTTAAAACTTATGAATTGTTTATTTCTGGAATTTTCCATGTAATATTTTCAGACTTCAATAGACCATGGGTAACTGAAACAACAGAAAGTGAAACCATGGATAAAAATTAAATTGAAAGAAATTAAAACAGGAAAAACAATGACATGTATATTCCTTAGTTCAAGTGAGCCAATGTTCAATACTCCAAGCCACTCTGATGAGGTTTTTCCCAATTTACAGTTTCTCATTAAGCAATGTCCTAACCTTGCTAATTTAGATTACATGTTCCCATTAAAGTAGGTAAAAATGTGTTTCAATCGTGTGTTTGTTCTGTCCTCTCAATTACTGTTAAAATTCTCAAGTTGGGTTTATCCTTGTATGAGTGGCCTGCCAGGTACAAAGCTCATACTGCACATTTTTAATGTAATTTGATTACTTTATGTTAGGGAAAATAAAAGACCATTTTCATCTTTCTTTTTTAGCGATGTGGGGAAAGGAGAACAAGTTAGGATTTCTAGAATCACAAATATAAAGTGACCAAGTTTCAAGTTTTGGGAAAAAATAGACCTTTGATCATAGAATGGTAAGATTTTAAGAAAAGGTTAGAGGAAAACCTTTTATATTAGCTTATACAAGTACCAATAACTATGTTTGAAAAAAACAGACATGGTGGTTTGGTAAATGGCTTTGAAGCAAACATAAGGATAACACAGAGGGTTAAATTTAATAATAAGAAAAGGACTGTTTGTAAACAAAGGATAATTTAAGAAACATAGATCTTGGGCTGGGGATGTGGCTCAAGCAGTAGCGCGCTCGCCTGGCATGCGTGCGACCCGGGTTCGATCCTCAGCACCACATACAAACAAAGATGTTGTGTCCGCCAAAAACTAAAAATAAATATTTAAAAATTCTCTCTCTCTCTCTCTCTCTCTCTCTCTCCCCTCTCTCTCTCTTAAAAAAAAAAAAAGAAACATAGATCTTAGTGGGGAATGGAATATATGCAATTGTAGGACTGAGGTGGTAATGAGCTTCTTTAGTGAAAGACATAATTAAAATGGGAAAAAGAAAGTGAAAAACAAAGTGCTTTTCTAGTTACCCTGGACAATACCACAATGTTTTATCCTCTAAACAAAGCTGAAGGTTGGTGATGAAATGATGAATAATTTAGTCTTCATCATATACAATTCAGTTAAGGTCAAAAAGTGCTATGTTTTACATATTCTAAGTCACAGAGTATTGGATTGGAAGGCAAAGGTGTCTGTCACTAAAGATACTGTTGTAACTATAAATGATGCTGGTTGAATTTAGAGTGGTGTCATGTCAGCTTCATCAGATGAGACTTTAAGGATGAGACATTAAGGATTTTCTCTTTGGGAGGAGGGACAAAACTCTTTTTTAATTAACTGCATCTCATTATATTTAATGTATTTATTAGCATAGATCTTTACTGTCTTATCACAAATTACACTCTCTTTGACTGTTGCAACATTCTTTCCCAAATATAAATTATTTGGAATATTATTTATCTCTTTGAGCCTTTGTTTGGACTTTCTAGATAACATAATTTAATTACTATGATAATTTTTGCTACCTCTGTTACATTATCATGGCATTTCACTCTCAATATTCATTACCTAGTAAAATATTGCAAGTGTCTAAGTATTTATCAAGTGGTAAGACTCTTGCATTGACCATAAACTTCCTTGCAAAAATGACTTTAATAAACTTTCTTTAAATTTATGATACAATATACTAATTTTGACAAAGATTAAATGAGTTTTCAAAAAAATTTGAACCTTAGTACATAGTTTCCTAACAACAAAACCTAGTATCTTCTGAAAAAACTTAATATTCTTAATTCAGGATTATTATAGTAACAAGATTCATAGACATTTCTGGCACGGTAGGAAGCCAGTTGAAGTTCTAGTTTTGTGATTAAAGCTAAAATAACAAACAAAACAAGTAAATAACATCTGCATGTGTAAGTTTTCTGATTTTTAAGTATAAAATCCTTAATAACTATGTTCAAAATATAACCATTTCATCACAATTAAAGCATGTAAAATCTTAACACTCTAGAGAAAACCAGATCTACTTTCAGCTTATCTCAAAGAGCAGAAATTAGTACATATATGAACAAATGTGCATATATAATGATTTAAATTACCTCTCTTCTTCTCGAACCCATACTGGAGTTTTGGGAATTTGTGCTTCAAAAAACTTGGATGCTTTATAACAAAAATCGCTGCAAAAAGACTGAAAAAGATATTTTAAAACTAGTTATTTCCCTTATTATGAAATGTAACCTATATACAATAGAGTATAAAACATAAATGTGCAGTTTAAAGACTAAAACAAAACCCCACTAATCTTTGAACACCAACCTAAAGTAAGAAATAAGGTAAAGTGCCTTTGAAGGCTTCTATGGGCTCCACCCCATGGCCCCCTACATTCCTTAAAAGTAAAAACTATCCTAATTTGATGTTAATCATTCCCTGTTTTTCTCTAATTTTTTTTAAATATTTATTTTTTAGGTATAGATGGACACAACACAATGCCTTTATTTTTATGTGGTGCTGAGGATCGAACCCAGACCCCCGCCGGTGCTAAGCAAGCGCACTACTGCTGAGCCACAATTCCAGCCCCTTTCTCTAGTTTTTACCACCTACATCCATATCCCCATAAAGCATATTCAGTTTTGCCTCTTCTTAAACTTTAAGTGGAATAATGCTGTTACATATTCTCGTCTTCAGTTCAAAATCATGTTTCTAAGACTTATTCATGTAATTATAACATCCCATCTTTGCTACATTTGGGATTCCATTGTGTTAATAAATTAAATTTTATTGTTTATAGACAATTGTTTCTAATTTTTTACAATCATTTCAATGTTAATATCAACATTTTTATAATAAGAATTTTTAACTGTAATAAAATACAATGTAAAATCTGCCATCTTATCCATTTTGTGTAGTTCATATTGTCATACAACCATTGCCAGCATTAAGTTTTTTCCTCTTACAAAACTGAACTCTATATGCATCAAATACTAATTCCCCATTTATTTTTTATTGATTTTTTAAAAATAAATGACAGTGGAATACATTCCCCTCCCACCCCCTCTGTTCTATCTAGAGTTCATCTATTGCACCCATGCCTCCCCTCCCTACCAGCATTTGTTTTTTGGGGATTGGCTAACTTCACTTAGCATTATCTTCTCCAACTCCATCCACTTACCTGCAATTGCCATGATTTTATTCTCTTTTACTGCTGAGTAATATTCTACTATGTATATATACCACATTTTTAAATTAATTCATCTACTAAAGGGCATCTAGGTTGGTTCCATAGTTTAGCTATTGTGAATTGTGCTGCTATAAACATTGATGTAGCTGTGTCCCTGTAGTAAATCCTTTGGGTATAGACCAAGAAGAGAAATAGCTGGGTCAAATGATGGTTCCATTCCTAGTTTTCCAAGGAATCTCCATACTGCTTTCCATACTGGTTGCACCAATTTGCAGTCCCACCCAGCAATGTACGAGTGTACCTTTTTCCCTACATCCTCACCAACACTTATTGTCTGTCTTCATAATAGCCGCCATCCTGACTGGAGTGAGATGATATCTTAGTTTTGATTTGCATTTCTCTAAATGCGAGAGATGATGAAAATTTTTCAACATTTGTTGATTGATAGTATATCCTTTTCTGAGAAGTGTCTGTTCAGGTCCTTGACCCATTTATTGGTTGGGTTATTTGTTTTTTTGGTGCTTAGCTTTTTGAGTTCTTTATATACCTTAGGAATTAGTGTTCTATCTGATGTATGAGTGGTAATAATTTGCTCCCAAGATGTAGGCTCTCTATTCACCTCACAGATTATTTCTTTTGCTGAGAAGAAATTTTTAGTTTGAATCCATCCCATTTATTGATTCTTGGTTTTAATTCTTATGCTATAGGAGTCTTATTAAGGAAGTTGGAGCTTAATCCTACATGATGAAAATTAGGGCCTACTTTTTCTTCTATTAGACACAGAATCTCTGGTTTAAAGGTCCTTTATCTACTTTGAGTTCAGTTTTGTGCATGGTGAGAGAGAGGGGTTTAATATCATTTTGTTGCATATGGATTTCCAGTTTTCACAGTACCATTTGTTGAAGAGGCTATCCTTTCTCCAATGCATGTTTTTTTTGTGCATAAGATAATTGTAATTTTGTGGGTTAGTCTCTGTGTCCTCTATTCTGTACCATTGGTCTACCAGTCTGTTTTGGTGCCAATACCATGCTGGTTTTATTACTATTGCTCTGTAGTATAGTTCAAGTCTGATATAGTGATGCCACCTGCTTCACTCTTCCTGTTAAGGATTTCTTTAGTTATTCTGAGTGTCTTATTTTTCCAGATGAATTTCATGATTGCTTTTTATATTTCTATAAGAAATGCCATTGGGATTTTGATTGGAATTGCATTAAATCTGTACAGTGCTTTTGGTAATATGGTCATTTTGATAATATTAATTCTGCCTATCCAAGAGCAAGGTAAATCTTTCCATCTTCTAAGGTCTTCTTTGATTTCTTTCTGTAGAGTTCTATTCTATAGTTTTCATTGTACAGATTTTCACCTTTTTCATTAAGTTGATTCAGAAGCATTTTATTTTTCTTTAGGCTATTGTAAATGGGGTAGTTTTCCTCATGTGGTAGTTTTCCCTTTCAGAGGGTTTGTCACTGATATACAGAAATGCCTTTGATTTATGGGTGTTAATTTTATATCCTGCTACTTTGCTGAACTAATTCCTCATTTATCTATCACCATTCTGCTTCCTGTCTCTCGAATTTCATTACTCTAGATACCTAAGTGGAATCATAATATTTCCTTTTGTGCAGGCTTATTTCACTTAGCATAACATCCTCAAGGTTTATCCATATTATAGTATGCATCAAACTTTACTTCCTTTTTAAAGCTGAATAATATTCCATAATACGCATATGCCACATTTTGTTTTTCCCATTGTGAACATTCTTATACATATATATTATTACTAGTGCATATGAACAAAAACTTCTTTAAGGTATGTACAAAGGAATAGAAAGACTTGGTCATAAACAAAGTGCAAAGCTGGTAGGGATATAGCTTAGGGGTGAGTGCTTGTCTAGCATGCATGAGGCCCTGGGGATGCTATAGTAAAGTCAACTTTACCAGATAAATACCAAATTTTTATTACTACAAGCAATATAAAGAATTTCAAATATTATCAGATTTTTAAAATTTTGCTACTTTGGGGATTGAAAAATGTAATTTGATGTGTTGCTATTTGCTATTTCCCTGATAACTAAAAAGACTGAGCAAGATCTTTTTATATGTTCAATAGTCATTCAAGTTAATTGTACAAAAGTCTTCCATTAATTTTGCTCTCTTTTTCTTATAGCTTATATATTCTCAGTGTGAATCTGTGGTCAGATTATATGTAGAAAATATAACTTCTTATTTGTGGCTTATCTTTTCACTTTTTGGAAATCCCTGATGGAAAAAATGTATGTCTGCCTTTCATATTTAAGTCTTTATTTCACCTGGTTTGTATATATTTTTCATTTTTTATCTAGATAACTGTTAGTGCTATTTATGGAAAAAGCCGTCATTCCTTCACTGAACTATAATACTCCCACTGCCACATATCAAGTATCCACATTTGTGTTGAGTGTACTGGTTCTCTAGTCTATGATTTATTTACCTTGAATTGTGCTACTACATAGTTTTGTTGTACACAATCTATATATAATTTGTGCCAATATATATTTAAGTCTTAATTAAAGCTTAAGCAAGGAATTGTTTTTAGTGCCTTGGTTGAAATATTTACAAATAAACTTTTAACATGGTTATTTTCTAACAGGAAAGATGATAAAGTTATTTTTAAATTCTAGTTTATATCATAATAAGAATTAACTACCACATTGAAAATAGCTATTGAACTTACCTTTCTTTCAGTAATATCATAGACTTTATTTGTTTTGGTAGAAATTTTATACTTCTGTTTTGGTACCTAAAGAAAAGAAAGCATAGCTTACAAAAAAATTAACATGAACTTCTATTACAAATTTAAGTCATCTACCTATCATATTTTTGACTAAGCCATGACATCAGTTCATTACCTCAGGTTTCACTTTCTTTTCTTTCCATAGAGCATTTTGCTAAAAATCAGACAAAGGCTATAATTTAAAATAGTTACTTACAATTCCCAGCTTCTTTTGACACAAAGGATAACCACAGAGTTTGATAATAGAACGCTCATCCACGACATCACTGTAGTGAGCAGGTGTGATGAACTTCCCCTGTAATGAAACCAGAGAGGCATTTTCTTCCAGATTAATGGAAAAGAAATTGATCTTTACTCATCAATCTAATCTAAAAATACAGGAGCAACAATAGTACATACCTAATAAGTCTAAAATTAGAATTAAAGGAGAAAATAAAAAGCACTCAAAAGTGTTAATTTATAGTAAACAATCAAAAAAATGTTAGTTATTATTAAAAAACAAAAACTTCCACCACTACAAAGTGTAGGCATCTTTGTAGATTATACAGTTGATAAAATTATTTTGAGGCAGCAGGAAGAAGTGGTGCTATACCAACACTAAATGATAGTATCTTTTAAGCAAGTACTTTTTTAAAAAAAATAAACCACATGAAGTACTAGAACTATGTAATTTTATCTATTTTTAAGATAGATAAAATATGTTAACTCCTGCACAAATTTTTGTGCAAATATTCCTGCTTTCGAAAAAACAATATAGAATGGTTAATAAGTTAACACCAAATATGTTCATGCATAAATAATTTTAATTCTTGTTTTTAACTTTGAAAAAAAATTTTTCAGAAGTAGGGATTGAAGTCAGGAAAGTGCTCTCTACCACTGAGCTACATCCCCTGTCCCCTGCTTTTTTAATTTTGAGACTAGGTCTCAAATGGTTTTTATAGGGATTGAAATAGTCTTTACTGAGAGTGACATGTTTTTTTGTCTCAAATGAAGCATTTCTGGCTTGTCTTTATTTTGTTCAGCATCATCATATATACAGATTTTGATGTAGTTACCTATATTAATTTAAATATTGTCATGTTCATATTTTTGTTTTGGAAAAATCCCTGAACTACACTAAAAATTACTTTTGTAATAGAAACTTAATTTTTTTTCTATAATAGATTATGAGGATTTAAAGGAATTTTCATTAAAAGTTTTAATAAAGCTATTTAAAAATTTAATGCAAATTATTTTGTTTTAAGTCATAAATGATTTATATTTCAGGTCTTAAAAATATCAAAATGAATTATATTCACAAAAAATAATCTGTTACTTAAAATAGTACAATACACAGAATATCAGAAAATTGACGTTGTGATCATTAGTCAAAGGGAAGAAAAAATCAAGTTATATCAGCAGACTGATTAAAAGAACTATTACTAAGGGTCAAAATGTACTTTTTTTTCCTAAATGTTTTATTTTTAATTGACATAGTAATTATACATACTCATAGGATACAAATGTTTTAGAGCACATACACATTGTAGAATGAACAAATCAGGTTATAACACATCCATCATCTCACATAAGTCTTTGTAATGAGAAAATTTCAAATTCACTCTTTCAGCAACTTTAAAATATACATTAGTTTAACTATAGTAATCTTGCTATATACTTGCTATTTTTCATTAATGCATTTTAAAATCATTATATAATAATATTAGGATAGCTGGTTATTTAAAAATGCATGAATTATAAAAGCACATTACGTGTATGTAATGACTGACATCAGATTTAAAGATTTCAACAATGCAAAGAAGTTTCATTTTGTATAGATTTGAAGATATTATACTATAAAACTAATAATTTGTTCACTTAACACATACACATTCCATTAGGAATTCGTCTGTAATATTCTCTTCTAAAAGTTGTTCAACAATATGTAGAGCTCTTCTCTCAAACTCAATCTTCTTTTTCACAGCTGCTTCTAGTTCTGTTTTCCTAAAAAATTAATGAGGTTAATCTCATAAAAAGTTTTTGTATGTTTATAATATTTTATGTTTTAAAATCCAACACTAACCTATTTTGCCAGTTTACATTTTTTAATGCTGTTACTTTTCAAAAAAGAAACAAACTATTTGTTGCACCATGTACACAGAAGTCAGCCATAAGGACTATTTCCCTGATAAAGAGCAAAAAAGAAGCACTTTAGAAACTCCTAAAGAAAATAATGTGAATTTTTTCTGCCTGCTAGTTTATACTCTACCAATTTTAAGGTACACTCTATCCCACAGGTACCTTTAAAAAAAAAAAAAAGGATTTTTCTCTGATAAAGAGCCAAATATCAGAAAACACTAGAAAGTAGATAATTTCTAAGTAGAAATTTGTGTTTTTGTTAAGTCTCAAAAATTAACTGATGGTCCGCCCAACTTGAAAGAACAGTCACATCTGCAAAAAACTACTTATTCTTGTTGTAAGGTCTTGTTAAATAATTGTATTGATAGGAATGTATGGCTTAGGTAAAGAAAAGTCTTCCTGGGAGGGCTTGTTCTTGCTATCAGCAGGGCTCTGTCAGCCTTTGCTTGCCCCCATATATTACAGTACTCAAAAAAACACAGACTATCTAGTCAAAAGATAGACCTATCAACAGTGATTCTCAGTCCCAGCTCCACATTAAGATTGTCTGTGGAGATTTTTTTAAAACAAGATACTAAAATGCTGCTCAGTTCCCACTGTAAGGTAATTAAATCAGAATCCCTGAGAATGGGGCCTGATTATTACTTTTCAACAGGGTTGAATCACTGCCATAGAACCAAGGAGATCATCCTTCCTAGTGACTCATTTGTTCCTTTCTTGCACTGGTTTCTACTTACCTATCAGAACTACCTTTGCTGGCCTCCTGGTCCTTAATTCTTACAACTGGACCCAGAATGTCTTCATCCATTCTACTTTCTTTGACTTCCAAGACTTTTAGACTTTCATTTCCAGCAATGTTTTCCAGAAACAATCTGACAGTTTTGTCAACAACTTATTTTGTCAAATATGGACATTAAAACAAGAATTTTGTGACAACACCGATTCACACATCATTTCATAAAGATAATTTTTTCTTTTTTTGTTACCAAAGATTAAACCCAAGCGTGCTTAGCCACTGAGCCACATTTCAGATCATTTTATTTTGAGACAGGGTCTCACTAAGTTGTGTAGGACCCTGCTAGGTTGCTGAGACTGGCTTTGAACTTGTAATCCTCCTGCCTCAGTTTCCCAAATCTCTGAGATTATAGGCATGTACCACTATGCCTTGCAACATCTTTTTTTATATTAAATAAAATATAAATGACAGGTATCTTTTATTGAACACATTTAGCTTCATGAAAAACTTATTTTAAAAAAATTTTCTCATTTTGCTGCCTACCAACAAAAGCCACATCACGTACTAAGATCAGTATACATATAACCTGCATTAAGGAATTTCTGACTCAAGTCATAACCACCTCCATCTGAGCCATACTCCTCTTAATTGACAGATATCTAGAGCTGTTTCCTGTCTTATTGTGACCTTCTGTCACAAATGATAGGCAGTGTAGTGTGTAGAAGCAGATCTCAAACTTTTTGGTCTAAGAACTCCTTTACACTATTAAAATTAGAACTTTTGCATACATGCATTTTACATGTCAACATTTACCACATTAGGATTCAAACTGAAAAAACTTAAAAGTATTTATTTATTAATTCCTTTATCAACCTATTACATGTTAAAAATGTTATCAACCTATTACATGTTAACATTTTTAAATGAAAAATTTTGTGAGATGAGTAGAACTGTTATATTTTTGCAAACCTCTTCAATGTCTGTCTTAATGGTATTTAGCTGGTTGAATGTAGAAGAATTTTTAAGTTGGAATAAATTTATTGAGGGGCACTCCTCTCAATGATTTGGTTATTCCCATGAATGCTTGTTTCATAACCCTGAGTGACCTACTCAAAATACATTTCAGCTGGGGCTGGGGATGTAGCTCATCAGTAGAATATTTGTCTGTCATGCAAGAGGCCTGAGTTTGATCCACAGTACTGCATCACAACAAAACAACCCAAAAAACATTTTGGCTTACCTATATTCTTCAAATTGTAAGGTCTGTGGTCAGATCAATGTTGAGAAGAGTTGCAATTCACCACCATAATCAATATTAATTAAATTTTACTCTTGTAATGTTTCCTAAAGCCCAGTTAATATGGTGCTACTCTGCAGGGAACTATTTTCCAAAACAGATTTTGAATCCATCTAGTTTCTCCATTCTTAGATGATTCTCAGCCTATTGTCTTCAACATTTACTTCATTAAGTTCTCCCATCTGCAACTAGACAACCTAATTTCTCACCATGACCTACCAGGTACTATGTGAAGAATTTTGCCTCTAACCTTTTCCTATGCTCCTTTTATCCCTTGCCCAAATGCACACATTATCCCAGATCATCCCAGGCATCTTTTTTTTTTTTTTTTTTGGTACTGAGGACTGAACTCAGGGGCACTCAACCACTGAGCCACATCCCCAGACACATTTTGTATTTTATTTAGAGACAGGGCCTTACCCAGTTGCTTAGCGCCTTGCTTTTGCTGAGTCTGGCTTTCAACTTGAAGTCCTCCTGCCTCAGCCTTCCGAGCAAACGAGCCACTAGGACTACAGCCCTGTGCCCCAGGCATCTTTTTTTGAAGTTGCTACTCTGTATGGTTAATGCAAGCTTAGCCTTCAGGTCTAAGTTTAATTATTACTTCCTCAGAGAGCTTTTCCTTGAAAACCCACAGCCAATCCCCATCTAAATTGAACTTCTGTAATTAGTTTCTCCTATAACATTAATCTTTCTCTTCATAGCACATATCAAAATTTGTAATTATATATTTATTTGTATTAGCTTAACTGATATTTCTCTGTTCAAGTGGTTACAAGAACTGTGTCTATTTTGTTCAACACCATATTCTCAGGACCTAATCCAAGACTGGAATATCTTACAATCAGCAAATAACTTTAGGAAAAAAGAAATGAGCAAATTAAGATAAAAGTCAATACAGATTAGTGAGTTTTTATAAAATGGTAAGTCATAGATATATATATCTTATCTCCATCATAGACTACTCCTATTCTAGAAATATTTTTGTGACATGAGCCTGAGATACTATCTGGCCTTTTCCCCCCCCCACAGGGTGGTGGGGGGAACACACTGGGGACTGAATTCAGGGGCACTTGATCACTGAGCCACATCTCCAGACCTATTTTGTATTTTATATGGAGACAATGTCTCACTGAGTTGCTTATTGCCTTGCTTTTGCTGAGGCTGGCTTTGAACTCAAAATCCTCCTGCCTTATGACTCCACAGCTGCTGTGATTACAGGTGTCCCAGCACTGTCCTGTCTTTTTAGGAGCCAAAAGACAGTACAGGACAGCTTTTTGATGAAAATATGGACTTGATATAATTAAAAAAAAAAAAAGTTTCTTGGAGTGATAATGAGAGAAACTTGGACATTGAGTTTCTGGCTTATATACCAGTAAAAACAGACCTAAAGGGCTAGGGGTGTGGGTCAGCAGTAGAGGCGCCTGCACTGCGAGGCCCTGGATCCAATCCTCAGCATTACATAAAAATAAATAAATAAAATAAAGGTATTGTGTCCAACCACAACTAAACAATTAACATAAAAAAGAGACCCAAAGAGATGGGAAAGGAGTATCTGTAAATTCAAGAACACTGTTCCCACAACATCTTTGTACAAATACACCTGTCTCAGAATGCCGGCAGTCTCCAGTTTGGTTTTCTTAAAACCTAGAGTAGAGGGATGTAACAGCCTATAAGAATTTATTGTGCTAACCAGATCTTCCTCTTCCCTCTCATGACACTTTTCTCCAAAATAAGTAGCTATTATTGTTTTTAAAATTGGTTCAATTAATATAACAGGTAATATAATAGTGAATGCTCTTGTCCAAATAGTACTCACCTTTTAAACGCATCTTCTTGTTTCAAAACACTTGTCTCTTTAGTACCTACAATTAAAAAAAAAATAGGTCGCTTTTTTTTGCGTGTGTATGTTGGGGATTGAACCCAAGAATGCTTTACCATTAACCTATATCTCCAGTCATTTTTATTTATTCTTTTAAATTGTGAAATAGGGTCTCATTAAATTGCCCAGGCTGGCCTCAAACTTGTGATCCCCCTGCCTCAGACTCGAGTCGCTGGGATTACAGCGCATCACACAGATCAAGTCTACACAAACGGTAGGTAGAGATTCCTGTCCAAATAACAAACTATAGTCATCTTTTCTTCTTGTCCACATATTTCATTTCCAATGCTGTGTGTAAATCAAAATGAAATAGGGAGTACAATTTGTTTTTGTGCATTACATTATCCAATTTTTCTTTGTTAAAATGTATCTCTTTAGAGATTGAATTTTCTTATGTATCACAGTTGCTTCGTTAATTAAGTGCTCCCCCAAATTCAAGAACTGAGTACTTTAAGAGAGAAACATCTTCACTTCCCAAACGTTTACTACTGGTGTAGCAGGGGAGTGAGTCCCTTACTCCCTGGAACTGGGCATGAAAGCTGTCTGAAAGGTCCAGTCGAGAGATCAAGGCCAGCCGCACTGCCTGACAATGCTGAGGCTGCCCAGGTCATTTACTTGCTCCCTGGGGTTCCCCAACACCTCCCAGCACTTCCCCTCAGCGGGAAGTGGCCACAGCGCACGCTGGGAGAAATCCTGACACGTCTGCCAAGAGGCAAGGGCATCCCGGCGGGAAGTCGAAAAGACCGCGGTGGGAAGCTCTCGGCTTTCTCAACTCCAGGGTCCACCCCACCTTCCCTGGAGCGGCCTTTCGAGAGCGTTCCGCACGCCTCTGCCTGGAGCCAGGCCAGGGACCAGCTCTCAGGAACCAAACAGGGGAAGGGACCCTTCTTCCTACCTGCAGCTTTCCGGGAGGCGCGGGGACCCCGGGCCTTCTGGCCGGCGGAGCGCGGCCGACCCCAGTCAGCCATGGGGAAGCTTCGTCAGAAGGTCAGGGGCCGCCTCCGGCGTCCCCCGCCAAGCTCCGCCTCCACACCACGCGTCGCACGGGCCGGGGCGGGCCCGGGGGCGGGGCCGGAGCGCGGCCTGCGGGGTCGAAAGTGGTGGCTGCTACCTAAGCGCACCGCGAGGTCCGGCGGGTAAGTGACCACACCGGGAGGTCTGGGTGGCGGGGGTGTGCCTGGCTAGCTGTGCGCGGCGAGCGGTGGGGGAAGCGGCGCGGTGAGTGACTAGGCCCCGCGAGGTGGTGGGACCAGAACGCCTAGTACAGCACGAGTCGGGAGAAATGGCTTCCTCTGGATGCCGCCTACAAGCGCGCTAGGGTGTTATCCTCCTTAGAGGACCGGCAGAGCCCACTTATTGCCGCAGACTGGGGCCGAGCCTTCTCGCCTCGAGAAACCGGTGTTCGGCGGGAGCCGGATGGTGTTCTCCTGAGGACTGCCAATTGCCTTGTCTCGGTGTGATATGGCGGTTTCACTGACTGGAGTGATTTACTTTGGGGGAGTGCAGCTCCTACAGTGAAAAGGGGTGGAGGGCGTTTGAACTTTCAGTCCCCTTTGGGTGACTTGTATTGAATTCCAGTTTTTGTCGTGGGACACTAAAAAATAAAAATTTTATTACAATTTTCATTTTAGGCCCAACTTGTGGAATTTTTTTTTTTCAGGGAAGAAATACTTTGCCTTTTAAAAGCATATTTGCCTGTCCTCTAGGGAATGCTCCAAAGGGTTCTTTCTTTCAAAACTATGCTCTTAAAAAGATGCAATAGAGTTGTTTTTTTTTTTTTCCAAAGCAAAATTACTTTCTTAAGTGAACATACTAACATTCACTAATAGTAAAACCTTACGTTTTCCTTATAATGTTTTCTAATAATTGAACAAAATGAAACAATATCAGTTAACTTTTTATATTAATTCATTTCAGCATCAAAACTAGAAATAATAATTAGGAATGGCTGTGGAGGAACTTCAGTCCATAATTAAAAGATGTGTAAGTAATTTTTTTCTTTTGTGTAAAATTTCTTTTAAAATATGGGAAGGATATCATTTATAATTTCTTTTGTGGTTACTCAGATTACTTATCTTCTTTAATCCTTGCTTTTTTTGGCTGGTAAATAAATAGCATGAGGACAGGACAGCAGATTGGATTATTTGTACAGATGATATCCTTAACCTCTTTAATTTTGATGCTGATCCTTTTCATAGGATTCTTTGATATGTAGTAGATTTCAAAATCACTTAGTAATTATTATAATCCTAAATTTTAAACAATTTATCTAGGATTTAAACATTTCCCTTTTTACAAAGAAAGAAAATAAGAAGTTGTCATACTGAATTTTTATTTGCATATGCTTATTTTTTTGTTTATTTTGTTTTTTCAGCAAATTCTAGAAGAGCATGACTTTAAAGAAGAAGATTTTGGTCTGTTTCAGTTAGCAGGCCAGAGATGTATAGAAGAAGGGCACACGGACCAACTAATAGCAATTATTCAAAATGAAAAGAATAAAGTAAGTACAATCTTTGTATTTACTTTTCAGATTCTACTTGAGAAGAGAATAATCACATGTTATTATTTATCCCTTTATCCATCAAACATTTAAGAATAAACTTATGTAGAAAATGGAAAAAGGGAACTAGGAATACTAATATACTTTAAGGTACTTACAGCGTGTTGGAAGAGATAAACAAAAAAACAACAACTAGCAATCAGGAGGCAGAATAAATGAAGCAAGTGCTGAAATATAAAGAACTTTAAAAGGAACAGTTTTAGGTGTTCAAAAAGTAACATTTGAATCATTAATTTACATTGAGAAATATAAATATCAAGCAAACTAGATACTCATATTTTGTGATCATCCTATTCCCCTTTGTGTCAGATGTGCATAGAAAATCAAATTGTAAGTAAAATATTCCTGATCCACAAACACGGTCATTTCCCATGGTAGAGAATGATTTCTCAAACTATTAACAGTTAGGGCTGGGGTTGTGGCTCAGTGGTAGAGGGCTTCATGTGTTTTAAATCTTTGTGATTTTTTTTTTTCCCAATTGCATTCTCAGAAGATAACCTTTGAGAGTACTTAACTTAGCTGCTAACAATAAAATCAGTAACAACTAATATTTAAGCTTGCTATTTTCCAGATGCTATCTATATACTTGACATCTATTAATTTATTAAGCTTCTTCATAAATCCCCAAAGATAGGTACTACTATTAAATTCATTTTTTATATGTGTAGACTTGGGAGGCTAAGGTAGGAGGATCACTTGAGTGCGAAATTTAAGGTCAACCTGGGCAACATAGTGAGACCCTCATCTTAAAAAAATATTTATTTTATAAATAAGAAACAATTAACTGAAAGATCAAATGACATGCCTCAAAGTAACTCAGCTTTTTTGTGACATTAGGATTCATATCTATTCTGGTTTTGGAGCTCTTAACCACTCTGCTTTACCTCTGGTTAACATTATATAGTACTTATGAGAAAATTTTAGGTAGAATAGAAGGGATTGAGTGATTATGGGAGTGAGGGAGATTGAGGCAGCAAGGATGACACATTTCTAGCTTCTGAAAGGACAATTCAGTGTATGATATCCTGAACAGAAAAAGGCAACTTAAGTAAAGGAGAAAGTTTCCTGAAGGAAATGAGTTGACTTTTGGAAATTTTAAGATGTAGCAGGCAATTGGAAAGTAAGGTTTTGAGCTCAGTAAAGAAACAGATTTAGTTATTGTTTTGTTTAAAGATTAGGTAATTGAGGGGAGGGGAAGTATTTGCCTTAGACCACGGAAAAGTGGCAGAAGAAAAGAGGCCCAAGGAGCCCATCTTGAGGAACTTAAGGAACTGAGGAAGAGGCCTGCTAAAGATGTGAGGATCAACATTCCATCAGTGAGGCAGAGGGAGAAGGGAATTTGTAACTGTCAATACATGCCTGAGTGATTGGGTGTTTTTTTTTGTTTTTTTCTCCTTTCCCTGCTTCCTCACTCCCTTTGGTTCCTTTTCTCTATTCATCTCCCTTTTATTTTCATGAGATTCCCACCCCTCAGTGGTTTATTTTTTAATGTACTTCTGAATGGTTAATGGGATAGATTCAAGCATAGTGAAGCTTAGTCTTAATAGTTTGAGAATCACAGAGATTCAGATTTTGACAAGATAATGTTTAAAACTGACTACAACTTAATATTTTTGCAAGATGACACTATAAGGGATTCCTCAAGATTTATTATTAGCTGTAATCTTAGAGACTTAGAAGGCTGAGGCAGGAGGATCCCAAGTTTGAGGCCATCCTAAGCAACTTGGCAAGACTCTGTTGTAAAATAAAAAGAACTAGAGATGTGTAGCTCAGTGGTAAAGTGTCCCCTGGGCTCAATGCCCAGTACAAAAAAGAAAAAGATTTACTATTAATCTGTGTTAAATATTAAAAAAAAAAAAACAGATAAATATAAATAGCGAAGTGGTCTTAAGAAACTATAGTTTAGAATTTTACCATTATTGACATTTTGAACAGGATTGTTCTCTATTTTGAGGGATTCTCTTGTGTATTGCAAAATGTTTGGCACAACCCTAGGCTGCCTGTGAGATACCAGTAGCTTCCCTACCCACCTCCTTCAGTAATGACAATCAAAAAGTGTCTGCAAATCTTGTCAAATGTCCCCTGGGAGGTATGGTGCAAAATTGCCCACAGTGGAGAACTAGCAGTATAGGAGGAAATGCATAAGCTTGGGTCCTGTAGAATTGTCTGATATTGGGTCTGTCATTAATGTCTAAACTTTGGCATTCTCATTTAAATTAGGAGTCACAGTCTTATTCCGTATGATTGTTAGTACTAAATTAAACAAAGAGTAGTATACGTTAACCACAGTCAGGATTTAGTCCAATTCCTTATAATTATTTACCATCTTTCCTTAACCCTAACTAAAGCCATGAGACATTATTTAGTGACTGGGTTATCCTGTAGCTAATAGAATATTTATAAAATATTTTAAGAAAATTTTTCAAACCTGGTATACAAAATATTATTCAAAGCTGTCATTTCTCTTGTAGTTGATGATTATTCAGAGGATCTCTTATAGAGAGTAAGTACACCTTTGTAAAGGGAAAAAAGTGCTTTGGAAAAGTAGAATCTTACAGGAACTAATTAGGTTTTTAAAAATAAGTATGGGTTTATTTAATAAGTAATGGAAAAATATTGAGTAATTTTGAAAAAATTTAGTTATTGATTTGCAACAAATTCCTGATTAGTAAAATGCTAAATATTAAAAGTGAAGCCACACAAAAAATGAGAGAAAACAAAATATCAAATCTCTGGAGGAGAGGCTAGGGTTGTAGTTCAGTGGTAGAGTGCTTGTCTAGTACATGTGAGGCACTGGGTTCTATCCTCAGCACCACATAAAAAATAAATAAAACAAAGGTATTGTGTCCATCTATAACTAAAAAATTAAAAAAAAAAAACCTTTGGAGGAAGGATTCTTTTACACTTATAAGTAACAGACATTCAAAGAGATCAACTAAACTATGTCATTAAGTTAGAAAAAAAAAGTATGATTGTTTTATTCTTTGTTAAAATTCCTAACATTTCATTAAATATAAAGAAAGGTGAAATATACATTTTAAAAAATTTTAAATGAATGCTTATTAATCTCTAGGGGTGAATCCATTTTAGGCTAAAAGCAGTAAAAAAGGGACAAAAACAAACAAAATTATTATACTTGGCTACATAAAAATAAAGACAATGTTGTCTGCTATGATTGCGTGTGCCTGAAGTCCTACTTGTTTGAGAGGCTGAGGCTGAAGGATTGCTTGAGGCTAGGAGTTCAAGACTATAGCAAGGGTAGCATAGCAAGTCCATGTCTCAAAAGTAAAACCTAACAATTTTCTGCCATAAATATAACTATCTTAATATTAACATATAGAGAACACATGAAAGTTGATATAACAAACTCTAAAATGTATAGTTGATAAATGAGCAAAGATGTGAATAGATAGTATTTCTCTTTTGCAAAATTTGTGTTCACATACCCTAACATACTCTGTTGATAG